GCTAGAGCCATCTCTTCACTCAAGCAGCTACTAGCTGGTAAGGCTAACAAGCCCAAGGTCGACAAATAAAATGACACAGTCCCAGTGTTACCACAAACCACACAGCAGGCCAATAATTCAAGTCCGCCGTAAGTCCCAAGGTCGGCAGACCATAGCAGGCTGCTGAACAATGACACAGCTACATGCAGAATCCAAGCATGCCATAGGCTAGAGACCATTCCCCAAGGCTTCTGCTTATATACAGGAAGAAGACCTCATTCCCTAAGGCTGCTACTCAGCTGCTCACAGCTCACAGTAGATGCCACCATGGAGTTGATTACTAATTTCATCATGGGGAATACTACATCCAGCTGCCTAGCCATTCAACCAGGCCCAGCCAAGTTGACACACAAACTGAACTACACACAAACTTCATATATATATGAAGACAAACACTCTCTAGAAGACTATACTGTGTAGGGAGATCAGAGCTTCTAATTTTATGATTATTCTATATCAGGTTACCTGAAGGTACTATTTTCAACTCCACAAAATCACTGCTGAGCAGGTTGAACTTAAGAAATTATTTAGTGTAAACACCAAAAGAGATATGGAATCAAGAATCCACTTCAGAAGAAGCCCTGGTGGTTCGACAATTAAGCACTCAGCTGTTAATGAACCTACCCTGTGAGAGTCTGCTTCTGTGAAAATTACAGCATAGAAAACCCTTAGGGGCAGTCCTACTTTGACAACTAGGTCACTATGAGTCAAAAACAATTCCACAGCAGCTAACTGGTGGCACAGTGGTTAAAGTATTCAGCTGCTAACTAAAAGGTTGGTAGTCCAAACCTACCAGCCACTCTGCAGGAGAAAGATTAAGCAGTCTGCTTCTATCAAGATTTACAGACGTGGAAACCCTATGGGGTAGTTCTGCTCTGTCCCACAGGGTCGCTATGAGTCAGGATGGAATCGACAGCTGAAGGGTTGGTTTTGTAACAGTAACATCCATATCAGTAGTTAGCAGGAGCAGCAACATGATTCAATGGTGCAAAAAGGTCATGCCCAAGATGGAGTAAGACTTAAGGACAAGGTAGATTTGGAATTAAACTATGGATTTTTCTTTTACCAACTATGATCCAGAGGAAAGTACCTATCCTCTCTAAATCTTAATTCTCCCATCTGCAAAATGGGAATATTATTAATCTTTCAGTGTTATTTTGAAGAACAGATAACATATATCACACACAGGTACAGTGCCTGGCATATACTACGTGCCCCAAATCCTGATTTTAAACCTTGACAAAAAGTGCGTTCAAATATTAAACCATCTGTATTTAAAAAAGAAAAGAAAAAAGAAATTTGATATAGAGATAAATACACTGAATTCTAATAAGCATTTGCTGGAAGCAGAGAGAAAGAGCCAACTACCTCATAATTTAAAGTCCTTAGACTCTAAGAAAAATATAGCTCCATCTTTAACATATGCAATGCAACTTGTTAAGGGATATGAAAGAAAAAAAAGGAAGGACATTCTTCCTTGCTTCAATGAATCACAATCTAAAACAGACACACACCACTACAGACAACGCTAAAATCCAAAAAGCTCTGAAACAAACATAACAGAATGTTTTCATATATTAATTTGGTAGTAAAATGAGTCCTGACCTGAACTGGCCAGGGGTTCTATAGTCTTTATTATTCCATTGTAAACTGGCTAGGGGTTCTATAGTCTTTATTATTCCATTGTAAACATTGTTCATATGATCTTAAGTTTCATCATGTGAAAATCTCACTGGTGGTATAACATAATTTGATACACTTCAGTGCCCTCTAAAAATATAAAATATTCAAATTCCAAACCACAAGTAGCCCAAGGGTTTCAAATAAGGGATTCTGAACAATCTCTGCCTAAGGGAAAAAAAAAAAAAAAGTATGTGTGTGTGGCAGGGAGAATAAATGCATAAAAGAGGTAAACTACCCGAGGTAGAGAATAGTAGCTAATTTTTTTTTTCTCCTTTAGTCAGTATTTTCTTTAGAATCTTTGAATATTCCATAATACAGAAACAATCATCACCGAGTTCTTAGAAAATCTAAAAACAATACCTCAAAACAATAACAACAAAACAAATGTGCCAAAGAATGACTGGCACAAAGCACCCAATAAATGCCTGTCTACTAAAATATACAGTGGACCACCAGAAAAACAAGCAAATCAGTCCAAGAAGAAATACAACCAGAATGAGCTTAGATGTGAGAACAGTGAGACTTCAGCTCAACTTAGTTTGGAGAAACCAATCATCAGAAAAGGATATCATGTCTGGTAAAGTACAAAGTCAGTGAAAAGGAGGGAAACCCTCAATTAGAGGAAATGACACAACAGCCACAACAATATATTCAAATACACTACTGATCATGAAGAAGGTGCTGGGCCCCGCGACATTTAATTCCGTTATATACGAGGTCATCATGAATCTGAACCACGACAACTAACAGCAAGTACGACCTGGCAAAATAATCTGTTTACCAGAAAAAGACAAACAGATGAATATTTAACTGAGATATTTGATCTGTTAGTGTACCTGCTTTGTTGTTGTTGTTGTTTTTGTTATGTGCCGGCGAGTCAGACCCGACTCATAGCGACCCCTCCTTGAGTTGCCGAGGCAGTATCACTATGGAAGTAGATTGCCCAACCTTCCTTCCAAGGAGTGGCTGGTGGATGCACCATAATATATTTTGGAACTTAAGAAGAAAATATCCTAGTTTTCTTTTCCATAGGCCCACAGAGATTTCTACTATCAGGCCTCAGACATAGTCATCTCAGGTGAGCAAACGAGCATCTGTTACTAGTAGAGCATAGTAAGATTTCAAACTTTTAATGCAATTAAGATATTATGTAGACCAAAATAAATGACCTACAGAAGACTGTGATAGGTAGCAATGCTTCTTGAAATTCAACATGAAAATTGATTAGCTAGGGTTCTTGCTGGGAGCTCTGGTGGCATAGTGCCTAAGGCATTGGACAGCTAACCAGAAAGCTGACAGTTCAAACTCACCAGCCACTCCTTGGAAGGAAGACTAGACAATCTACTTCCATAGAGATAACACCTTGGAAACCCAAGGAGGGGTCGCTGTGAGTCGAAACCAACTCAATGGCAGTGAGTTTTGTTGTTTTGGTTTTTTTTCAGAGAGTTCTTGCTAAAATGCAAACTCTGATTTAGTGTGGTGGGCCATGAGATTCTGCATTCAAGGTCTCAGGTGCTCACAATGCTGCTGGTCTATGGATCCACACTTAGAGTAGGAAGGCTCAGAGCAGTGGTCCTCAAAATGTAGAATCAAAATGCATCAGACCTCCTGGGAACTCTTTAGAAATGTAAATCCTAGAGGATAAGAACACTCCTGGAGATTGCTGATCTAAATCAGCTATTTGCATCCATTCCCTGGCTGATATGTAAATATACATCAGCATTTTGATTTATAGCTACAGATGATCTGTTTACATGCACAGATACACAGATGCACAGTACAGTGCATTAATGGTTTGAAACACAATGTGCTTGAAAGACAAAGAATTAGGGGATAAACTGTAAATATAGAGTAGCATGACTAAAGAATTCAATCTTCTGAATGTGAAGCCAAATGACTATTAAATACATTTTCACAATTTTTTTTGTAATGAACTGATATATTCAGAATTCAGATTCAAAACTTTTTCAACTTCAAAGTTTTAATTCAGAAGTTCACTTTTCAATCAAAACCTCAGCACGTAGTTCTGTTCATAATCTATTTTCAAAGGAGTTGGTTACTAACAGATTGTAAAGCACCATACCTGCTTCAGGCTTGGGTGTGAATACTTCTGATCTCTGCTAGGAATATATATTTAAAACTGTGATTCTCAACCAACGGCAATTTTATCCTGTAGAAGACATTTAACAATGTCAGGAGCTTTTTTTTTTTTTTTTTCATCCTTGTTCCAACTGAGGAGAGAAAGATGTGCTACTGGCATCTAGGGGTAGAACTGATAAAGGCCAGGCATGCTGCTCAACATCTTATCAAGGACAAAACAGGCCCCAAAAACAAGGAATCATCAGGCCTAACCTATCTATAATGTAGAGATTGAGAAACTCCAATTTAAATGACCAAACCAAAACCAAACTCACTGCCCTCAAGTTGGATCTACTCATAGAGACCCCTCCTGGGGTTTCCAAGGTGGTATCACCACAGAAGTAGATTGCCCAATCTTCCTTCCGAGGAGGGGATTCGAACCACCAGCCTTCTGGTTAGCAGTCAAATGCCATAGGCACTATGCCACCAGGAGGCCACAAAAATCCAGAATGAATGGCACTTCTGTACCTACATTACATTCCTAGCATAATGTCAAACGTTACAAATATATTCTTACTGATTATTAAATAAACTACCTCTGGATAACTGAGATCTTAGAGTCATAGAGATGAAAAAGGACAAGAAGTGTGTTATTCCATATATAAAATCTAAAATCACAGAACAAACTTATAGTCATTACCAGAAGCAAAAAATTAAATTAAGAAATCATCCAATATAATTTTTTTTTTTATTTACGATTTTGGGTAAAAATGTTTCTCATAGGGAAGATAAGATGCCACCTAATGTACTGGCACAACAGTGTTGGGGGGACACCCTCTTAATAGTAAAAATGAAATAACCTAACGTTTTTACAAACTCATTAAAATACCAGTTTTCATTTCATTTCCCTTCTAACCATGCCAATATTCTTATTTTTCTCCACAGAATAAACTATATAACTGCTTCACAATATTACCTTTCTAAATATTAAAATTATTATGATAAAAAAATCATTATAAATGACATTTCATAGGCAGGGAATGCAAATACAAGGTAATTATTTTTAAAAAATCACAGGTCTTGGTGGCCTGCAGGCGTTTATACTTCTGAGACTCCTGGAATTTAAAATGTCATGAGAAATTCTGAACTGGTTTACATTTTTGGAACTATGTAACAGACAGTCACAAGGACAAACATACCCTTAATAATTGATTCAGCTGCATACAGATCTCGTTTGTAGGTCACCTGAAGGACAGATAAAGCTCATTAGATTTAACAGAGCAGGGCAGAATGTGAAAGCAATAAATTAATGCCACCAAGAAAATTCTTAATTTTAGAGGAACTATAAACACATAATACTGACAATTTCTAAATTACAATAACATCAGTAAATTCACATGGAAATATATATATATGTTGTTGTTGTTGTTATGTGCCATCAAGTTGGACCCAACTCATAGCGACCCCTCCTTAGGTTTCCAAGGCAGTATCACTACAGAAGTAGATTGCCCAACCTTCCTTCTGAGGAGTGACTGGTGGGTTTGAACCGCCAGCCTTCTGGTTAGCAGTCAAGTGCCTTAGGCACTACAGTACCAGAACTTATATATATATATA